AAATGGGAAAGGAAAAGACTCACATCAAAATCTTCATCACTGGACACGTACGTTTGGGCAAGTCCCCCATTCTTGGCCGTCTGATCTACAGATGTGGTGAGATCAACAAAAGAGGGGCCGGCCTGGTGGCACAGCGGTTAAGTTCACACGTTCTGCTTCTTGGTGGCGTGGGGTTCGCCGGTTCGGATCCCAGGTGCGGGCATGGCACCGCTTGGCAAAAAGCCATGCTGTGGTAGGCGTCCTGCGTATAAAATAGAGGAAGATGGGCATGGATGTTAGCTCAGGGCCAGTCTTCCTCAGCAAAAAGAGGAGGATTGGCAGTAGTTAGCTCAGTGCTAATCTTCCTCAAAAAAAAAAAAAAAAAAAGAACCATTGAAAAATTTGAGAAGGAGATTGCTGAGATGGGAAAGGGCTCCTTCAAGTATGCCTGGATCTTGGATAAGCTGAAGGCTGAATGTGAGCATGGTGTCACCATTGATATGTCCCTGTGGAAACCTGAGACCAGCAAGTATTATATGACCATCATTGATGCCCCAGGACACAGAGACTTTATCAAAAGTGATTACAGGCACATCTCAGGCTGACTATGCCATCCTGATGTTGCTGCTGCTGTTGGTGAATTGGAAGCAGGTATCTCCAAGAATGGGCAGATCCACAAGCAGCTTCTCCTGGCTTACACACTGGGTGTGAGACAACTAATTGTTGGTGTTTACAGAATGGATTCCACTGAGCCACCCTACAGCCAGAAGAGATGGAAAGTCACCCATAAAGATGGCAATGTCAGTGGAGCCACACTGCTTGAAGCTCTGGATTGCATCCTCCGACCATCTCATCCAACTGACAAGCCCTTGCATCTGCCCCTCCAGGACATGACAAAATTGGTGTCTTCATACTGTGCCTGTGGGCCAAGTGGGGACTGGTGTTCTCACCCCCTCAGCATGGAGGTCACCTTTGCTCCAGTCAACGTTACAACTGAAGTCAAGTCTGTTGAGATGCACCAGTAAACTTTGAGAGCAGCTCTTTCTGGGCACAGTGTGGGCTCCAGTGTCAAGAACATGTCTGTCAAAGATGTTTGTCATGGCAGTGTGGCTGGTGACAGCAAAAATGACCCAACAATGGAAGCGGCTGGCTTCATGGCTCAGGAGATCATCCTAAATCATCCAGGCCAAATCTGTGCCGGCTATGCACCTGTTGGGGATTATCACACAGCTCATTGCTTGCAAGTCTGCTGAGCTGAAGAAGATTGACCACTGATCTGGGAACAAGCTGGAGGATGACCCCAAATTCTTGAAATCTGATGATGCTGTCATTATTGATATGGTTTCTGGCAAGCCCATGTGTGTTGAGAGCTTTTCTCACTATGTTTTGCCAGGTTGTTTTGCTGTTCATGACAGGAGGCAGACAACTGCTGTGGGTGTCATCAATCAGTGGACCAGAAGGCTGCTGGAGCTGGCAAGGTCATCTGGTCTGCCCAGAAAGCTCAGAAGGCTAAATGAATATTGTTCCTAATACCTGCCAACCCCAGTCTTAATCAGTGGTGGGAGAACAGTCTCAGAACTGTCTGAATTGGCCATTTAAGTTTATAGTAAAATACTGGTTAATGATAACAAATTGTAAAACCTTCAGAAGGAAAGGAAGGTGTTTTGTTGGCCATTTGGGTCTTTGTGTGTGCCAGTTTTAAGCTATTAGTTTTAAAAGTCAGTCCTTTTAAGTGAAAACAACTTGACCAAAAATTTGTCATAGAATTTTGAGACCCATTAAAATAAAGTTTAATGAGAAAAAAAAGTTTTGAATTAGATTTCCCCTTTAGGCCCAATCCAAGGGGAAAGGAGGAAAGCCTTTGAAGAGGAAGCCAGCTGCGAAATGCATCCTCCCAGCCCCCCTTTGCCACCAGGCAGTGGCACAGACTCAGCCAAGCACACCTGACTTCAGAGGCCTGGTCTTGAGGAGTCCAGAGGTGTGGGTAAGAGCAAGCAGCCGACATGCACTCAAGGTCTCCACACAGCCAGTCCTGGGTGGAAGGAGCAAAGCTGTTGCCTCTGTCAGAAAGGGAGAAGGAAGGGCTTTCTGAGTCCTCTCCTCAACTGTGGCCTCCTCACAGGGAACGAGAGATGTAGCAGGTGTCGTCACAGACAGGTGCTTCCTTGGGTCACTGATGGAGGCCTGGCCTACTCCCTTCCACTTGTCCTGTTGTGTGCACCAGAGCACGTGCAGTGGAGGAGGTGCCTGTGGTCAGGAAGGCCTGATGAGGAAGGATTGGAACTGGGCCTTGAAGAACAGGTAGGATGATGGCAGAAACGGGCAGAAGCATCACAAGCAAAGATGCAAGAAAGAGGTCCATTTTCCCAGATACAGGCAAGATGGGAATGTGACTGGAGAACAGGGCAGGCCTGGCCTTTCAGGCTGTCCTGGAGAATGTGGGTGCAGTCCTGGAGGCTGTGGAGCCATTGGAAGATTTTGAGAAAGACGGAGACATCGGCCAAGGAGGGTTTCAGAGTCAATCTTCAGGCTGCCTAGGAACGTGGAGTGTGAGGGGCTCTTGGGAGGTACTCTGTGTGGCTCATCTTACCTGTCATCCAGGTGTAATATGGAGGCTTCTCTGTTTCTGAGAGATTGTAAATCAGTTTCTTGATTACCCAAGTCACATGCTCCATTTCCTTCATGCAGGACTTGGGTCTAGAGACGATCTTGTGCAGGTTGTGGCTGAGTGGAGTCCATGTCTGGTCAGGAGCATGGGGAGCCAGCGGGGAGGCTGTCCGGAGACAGGCTCACTGGCCCGGGTCTGCTCAGATTTGCAGACTCTGATTTTGCTGCCATGCTGGGATGCTCCCTACACTCCAGGAAGTGGACATAGAAGACCAGAGAGCCAGGGCACAAACGTGAGCCCTGCTGGGACCTCTCGGGTACCACCAGTACCAGTGTTCCCACTAGGACTGCTGCCTTTGTGCACAAATTTCAAGGGAAGCTGGGGTTCAGAATGTGGAAGTGGCTCATAGGACTCAAATCTCTGTGGCTCCAAGCCCTGAGAGCCACTGCTTGCATCTCCACAATAGGGATCAGATCACACGTGTGGTCACTGCAGTCGCTGCCCAGCCACAGCTGCCCTGGGACAGTGCCTGGATGGTGTCTGCACATGTCTGGCAACTGTTAACCAAAACTAACAGCTTTACAAGGCAAAAATAAAGTTTTAAAGAAAAGAGAGACTTTATGTAAAAAATTTGCAAAGCAAGGAAGTACACCTCATCCCACAAGTTGATAGGTGAGCTCCACCTCCCCGGTCTAGGGGTGGCTGATTTTTAAAGGCAAAAAGTGCACAGCATGCAAGGCTAAGGCTGAGTCCAGTTCATATTGTTCGCCCTTTCCAGCCCCAGTTTATTTTGTGCCCGGGGCTTTCTAAATATCCTAACTTTAGGGAAAAACTACTGCATTGTTCTCCAGCCATCTGGCGACAGTCAAGGTTAAAATGTAATTTTCTGTTTCTGTCCATAGTTCAGCCTTGAGGTGGTCGTGATAACCATCACTTCAACTCTGACCTTGTTCTTATCTCTTTATCACTTTTTGTGTGTCCATTTTCTTTCTCTGAGGCTTGGAGTTTAAGCTGAATGTAGGTTTCCTCAGACTTTCTTTAATGAGTGATCACTTTTCTGCTCACTAAATTAAAATCACATTGTCTTGCCCTCTTGGGCAGTAAGATTAGGGTTAAAGAAGTTTTAGGGTGACTCCAAACTATTCAGTAGCACACCTACAGTCTCTTGTCCTGTTTCCACAGATGGCCAACCACACCCATTGTGAGAGTCTTCCAGGAAGAAAAAGAGCATGGGTTTTGGGCTGAGACAGGCAGATCTGAGTTCACTTATTGTGTGATCACAATTTGTCTAACTCCTCAACTTCAGTTTTCTTACCTGTAAAATAGTCATATTAATACCTACCTGGTGCATTTAGGGCACTCGGCACAACCTGGCACATAGCAGGTGCTCAATGATTGGCAGATACTGTTATAATCACAGTTGGCTTTTACCAGGTTAATCCCTAAGAGCAATATTATCTTTGTGAACTCCGAGTGCTTAGGAGGTAACTGTTTCCTGAAGTTAGCAACAAGACCCAGGTTCTGACATGTAGCTTATGTGCTCATGGGTTTGCCCACAGCCGCCTAGAAGCACTCCCAAGATAACCACTTTTCCTAAAAGGAGGAGTAAAGTTTTTTCCACATACATCCCTTAGTTCTCATTCTGCATGGACCCCAGTAGTCCTCAGCAACATTGGGGTCACGGTGGCCTCATTCCATGAAGGTCTCTATGGAACCCAGCCCCATGCGCCCTAATGCCCTTACCACCAAGGCCCGCTCCAAGAGTCCTCACACTCCAGGATGCCACCTTCCTCTTCAACTGCCCAGACCTTAAGAAGCCCCAGTGGCACAGGGCCTCTTCTCACTCAACAATCTCTTTGGGTGACCTCATGTGTTCCAGTGGTATCAGTGACCATCAATACGCCGAAATCTGCATCCACAACCCGGACTCTCCTGGCTACTGTAGGTTGAGCCTCCACTGGGATGTTCCACAGGCATTTCACCCTCAGAGCTGAGTTCCTCATCTTCCTTTCGTCGCCTGCTCTTCCCCTGAGAGCTCTTCCTTTCACAACCATCACGGGCCAAGTTGCTGAGGACTTGTTATTTGACTCTTCTCTGCCACCTGCAACCCCAACCAATAACCAAGTCCTGTCCCTACTACCTCTAGAATATCGCTGTCGTTTTCCCACCTTGCCTCTCCCCGGCTTCCATCTTGGTCCACGCTACCGTCACTTCTTGCCTGGACTTTCACCATAGCCTCCTCACTAGTGTGCTCCCGTCCATTCTGTCTGCCGCCCCTGTCCCACCCATCCCCCTCCGCGCTGAGCCCAGAGCGAGCTTTCTGACACTCAAACCCAATTGTGTTACCACACCCAGGGGGCACCCGACTCCTGCTCCCCCCACATTCCAGCCCCCCGGGACCAGCACCACCCATCGCCACATGTCGGCGGTACTTTTTCTTTGCCCTTAGGATAAAACCATAAGATTTAAGGGGGCCAAGCGGCCACAACACTGTAGCAGCTGCAATTATTCAGGATCCGCGGGGAAGGGACGTGGCTCTTGTGTTCACCGCTGCATATAACTCGGGACCTGGCAAAGAATGGCCTCTCCGTCAATCCCGAATCAAGAACTGAAGAGAGGAACAACTGAAGGGCTCCTCCTGGGATCCTGCTCCCCCTTCCCCATCCCTGCCTGGACCAGCGAGGGCGGAGCCGCGGAGCAACCAGAGTCGGAGGTCTTCCGGGCAGCCTAGAGCGGCCCGACAGCGAGCGCGCTGACCCCGCCCCGGGCGCTGACCCCGCCCCGGTCGCTGACCCCGCCCCGGGCCACTTCCGGCGGCCGAGCTCCTCCCGCCGGGTGCGCCCCGCCTGCTCTGGGCGGTGAGTTGGGCGGGCCGGGCGGGAGGCGCGGCTGTCAGTCGTGGTTGCGGGCCGCCCCTGCAGGGGGAGCCGCGGGCGCCGGCGGCCGGAGGGCGGCCTTGATGGGCGGTGCTGGCGGCCGGGAGTGGGAGCGCCCGGGGCGCGCGCGTGTGAAGACGGTAAAGGCCCGGAGGGCACGGTGGAGCCGCGGCCGCCGCTGTACGCGGGGTCTCGGTTAAGTCCCTCGAAGCAAAGCCTTGGTCTGAATTTGAGAATCCTGTTTCTCTAGGTTCAACTTTTTGAGGAAGTGCCAAGCTGTTTCCCAGGCAGCTGCGCGGTTCGCAACCCCGTTCTGCACCCACCCCTACGTCGGGCAGTCTCTGGGGGCTCTGGCTTCTCTACATCCTGGTGGACACCTGCCATTCTCTCTTTTATTACCCACATGCTAGTGGCTGCTAAGTGGCATCTCATTGTGGTTTTGATTTGCGTTTCCCTGATGACTAATAATGTTGAGCCTTTCTTCATGGCTTATTGGTCATTTGTACATCTTCTTTGCAGAAATATCTAATCAAACCCTTTGACAATTGTTAAATGGAGTTATCTTTTTATTATTGAGCTGTAAGATTATATGTTCTGGATACAAGTTCCTTATTTCAGATACATGGTTTGCAAATATTTTCACCCTGCTGTGGGTTTTTTCCCTTTCTTGACAGTATCATTTGCAGCACAAAAGTTGTTTTTTGGGTTTTTTTTCCGCTTTATCTCCCCAAACACCCCCTGTACACAGTTGTATATCTTAGTTGCAGGTCCTTCTAGTTGTGGGATGTGGGACACCGTCTCAACGTGGCCTGATGAGCGGTGCCATGTCTGCGCCCAGGATCCGAACCCTGGGCCACCGCAGCGGAGCGAACGAACGTAACCACTCAGTCACGGAGACGGCCCCATAAAAGTTCTTAATTTTGATGTGGTCCAATATTTCTGTTTTTGTTTTTTCACTTGTGCTTTTGGTATCTTTTTCAAAGATTCTGCTTTTGGATTTATTCATCCACTCTATCGTTTCCCTTTTTTAGAGGTTCATTTTTTTCCTCTTAATTATTTCTACTTTCTTTAGATTTATTTTAGTATTTTTTTTTGTCTAGCTTACGTTGAACATTTAACTTTCTAACATTAATTCTGACATATAATTATTAAAGGACAATAAAATTATTTCCTAAAATTTTATAAGTTAATAGACTGAAGGTGGACTCAGTAATAGACTGATTTTTCAGCTTCTGGGTAACAAAAGTTGAAGAAGGTAGGAAGAGAAAGGGGAAAAGGAGGGCACTGGGAATTTTATGGGAGGGAAATGAACAAAAGGAGAGCAAAATTCAGGATAAATGGAAGAAAAAAGGCAGCCTTTTTCTCCTCTGACTCCATGGAATTTGTTTAATAAGTATGAGAGCAGGAGAAGATATAGTAGTTTTTCTATAGCTACCTTCTGCATCTCAGTATTTCTTGCTTTTGGATCACATGCATTTAGAGAAGATATTAGTTGTTTATTTTTAAGCTTTTTTAAAAAATATTTTATTTTTCCTTTTTTTCCCCAAAGCCCCCCGGTACATAGCTGTATATTTTTAGTTGTAGGTCCTTCCAGTTGTGGCATGTAGGATGCTGCCTCAGCATGGCTTGATGAGGAGTGCCATGTCGGCGCCCAGGATCTGAACCAGCGAAAACCTGGGCCACCGAAGGGGAGCGCAAACTTAACCACTCGGCCACAGGGCTGGCCCCTAAGCTTTTTTATTTACTCTTTTTATTTTGAAATAATTTCAAGCTTATAGGAAACTTACAATAATACAGCAAACTACCAAATAACCTTAATTCAGATTCACCAATTTTTAACTTGTGTCACTTATTTTATCATCTCTCTCTAATATTTCCTGAACCATTTCAGGAAGTAGGTTGAATATATGGCTTGAAAAGATGGCTTTTTCTTTAATTTCCTTCTCGTGTTTGATCTCTTATTGAATTTATTCCTGTTTTTTGGAGGAGTAGGGTCCATTTTCATTCTTTGTTTTGAAAGATCTGATTCTAGGTGTTTTCACTATCTCCGTGAAAATTAATAAAATCATTTAAAATGGAGTTGGGAGGCCAGAAGGGGAAGCTCTCAGGCAGTACCGATCGAGGTCAATTATAGAAGACAATTACAGACCCCAATAGAAAGAAGTCATCAATAGGAAGAATCATCAATTACAGACCCTAACAGGAAGAAATGTATGTTGCATCCCAAACAGAAATCAACTACCCCAGCAACTCGGCCAATGAGAAACTGTCACCACTCTGAACTCTTGCTTTCCTCTAATGGACTTTTGCTCAAAACAACCCCTCCCAATTTCCTCCTTTTTCCCTATAAAATCACATTCCTCTCCTTTGATTGTTGGACCTGCCTATGGCTTTTGCCATAGCCTGTGGGTCCTGAACTGCAATTGCTTGCTTTTTCCTGAATAAACTCATTTTGCTGGTAAAATAATTGACTGTCTTATTTTTCAGGTTGACATACGTGGTGTCTGAAGTGGGATCTGAAGGAGGCGACCCTCAAGAGACGATGGGCCCCAGAATTGAGCGAGGTACCTGCTCTGGGCCCCTGGAGCTCATGGCTTCTGTGAGTCATGGCCTACTTTTGGTTTGGTGAGTTTCCTGTCAGATTCTGAGCTCCACTTTTCTTGTGATTTGAGCTGTCTGACTTTATTCAGAAAGGGGAGGGGGTTTTTCCCTCTCGGAAAAGGGTTAGCGTCATTTCAGGAGGTTTCATCCTAGGCTCCATCTTCACAGAGAAAGACTTTGTCCTTTCGGGGGAAGGGTTAGAGTCTTCCCCAACGAGTGCTTGTCTGTCTTCTGAGGTGCGTGGCAGCAACTTTCCTTTTGGGGGTCAAGCTAGCGGGGATTTTCTTTTGGTTTTGGATTTTCTTTGGTTTTGATTTCCTCCTGGAATCAACTTGGGCTTTTGAAGCTGGGAAATGGGATCCCAGTCATCTCAATGACCTGAGGGCAGCCCTTCTTAAGGGGCCCCAGCCAGGATTAAGTTTAAGAATTTTGGACCCCCTGCATGTGCGTTTTTAACTAAGTGGGCCAAACTGACAAAGAATAGCCTGGAATTACAATGGCCATAATGGGGAACTTTCGATCTCCCCAAACTCATTTTTCTTAAAACCAAATAGTAAGACTACGGCTCTAAAATTAAGCAAAACAAACGGTACATTTATTTTAATTGTACCTGGAGCTTCCAAACAGGCACAAAACTCTAAAACCACCTCACTGTAAGGTACTATATCTAAATTAGCTGAAACAACTAAAACATTGAAGGAAGACAAAAATGGCTTCTGAGGCTTCCCTTTCCCTTCCCCTGTTTTCTTCGTCTTCTGCTCAGGCCCCACTCTGGCGCCATCTCCCTCCTTCCCTCTGTGCATCTAGTGCTGAAACTTTGGCCATCTGAGCAAGTAACCTTAACTTAGTCCATCTTCCAGAAGCACAATTTGGAATCAACTATTCTTTTGAACTTTGTACCTGAGACGTGGCTGAAATTCTTAAAACAAAAGCTATAAGGTCTCTGTGCCTTTCTGTGTCTTATGTATGTCTATGTACATGTGTGATATTTTTCTTATTTATTTATTTTGAGGAAGGTTAGCCCTCAGCTAACTGCTGCCAATCCTCCTCTTTTTGCTGAGGAAGACTGGCCCTGAGCTAACATCTGTGCCCGTCTTCTTCTACTTTATATGTGGGATGCCTGCCACAGCATGGCGTGACAAGTGGTGCCATGTCCGTACCTGGGATCCAAACCAGTGAACCCCAGGCCACCCAAGCAGAACGTGGGCACTTAACTGCTGCGCCACCGGGCCAGCCCCATGTGTGATATTTTTCTACCTCTGGATAGTATTGCCAAAATGAATTTGTAAAATAGTTCTGTTTAATTGGCTTAAGGAAAGGCAAGTGCTTATATAAATTAAGTATTCCTAAAAACTCTCAGAAATATAATAGAAACTAACCCAAATGCTTTGCAGGTTCATGTGATCTAGGAAAATATTAGAAATTAAAGCTAGTTTAAGTTTGTTGGTTTAACTGAAACAGGCATGTCTTTAGAGCTAACAACATTAAATATCACACTTTTATCCTACATAGTTTGTTGGTCAGATAAGTTCATATTATCTTTGTTGCAAAATTTGTCAAAAAGAAAATTTGCTTGAGATGATGGCTGATTTTGTCTAATATCTTATGAAGTTCTTGTGAGTAATATAAGCGTAATCATTGGGAACAAATTATTTAGATAGGTGAAAATTGGATAAAAGTTTTTTTGGGAAATAATTGTTTTATAGTATGTGTGCTTACAAAGAACATCCCCAAATCTTTTTGGGCAACTTAAAACTTTAGAGTTTTTGCTAGTTAAATTAAATGATGGAATTTTGAGTATCTGGATTATTTTCCAAATATAAAATATGAAAATATTCATTATTGAACATATGTATCTACTTTTGGCTCCCTATTGCAAAGAAACTAAAGATAAATTTGAGTCTCTTGGTAACCATGTCTTGTGCCACATTGAAAGACTGCACTATTTAGAAGAGCATATGCTTCTAGAAATCATGAATGCATTTATAAATTTACTAGTCTCCACAATTGCTTTCTTCTTAGTTTTTCACTAGGAATTAAGGATTCTAGGAGTTAAGAATTCTAATCAGACCAGGGAAAAGGAGAGGTGGGGGGAGGGCACAAAGGGTGAAGTGGTGTACCCACAACATGACTAACAATAATGTACAACTGAAATCTCACAAGGTTGTAATCTATCATAATCTTAATAAAAAATAAAAAATTCTAATCAGTATATATAATAATAAGGGAAATATCTCTGTCTGCAAGGAAAGCAGAATGTGTGTTTCAATAAAAGAAGGTATGAGGAATGGAAATGCATTTTATTGGGGGAAAGAAAATAATTTTGTCCTAAAGAGGCTGGTTATTTGGAATGGGAAAGCGAAAAAAATAGAACAAAACCTAAATGTAAAAAAAAAGTGTAGAAGGTCTGTGGAAAGGAATCTTGGGAAGAGAATTTTAATATGTGATCAAGCTGGCTAAGATTAAAATAAATTTATTAAAATGAGTTTTAATACCAAAATAAACTAATGAAAATTAAAGTTTGGCTTTCTTTTCTGTTGAAAGGACAAGATTTTCTTGGATTATTGGTCTGCTCTTGATAGATTGTGAAAGCTTCTTTAACTAGAAAACAGAGATTTTGTGTTTTATTAAAATAATTTTCTCTGTTGTTTCTATCAGGTGTTTAATTACTTAAGGGAACAGAGTCTTCTTAGTATTAAAGGTGTTATGTTTTGCTTACAATCATATAACCTTTTGTATTTACCTTTGAAACCTGTTATAGATATTTAAATATTATTTTGTAATGCTCTGTGATCCTATTTGGTCAAGTGTCCAAATCTTTTGAGATTTTTGACAAGCTTCCTAACATATTCAAATTCAAAATGACAATTTTGACATTGGATGTAACTTTGGGACTTTCCAGGGGGCACCTGGGTCATCTCAAAAGATTTGTTCCCTTTCCTTATATAAGGAGAGAAATTACATTAATTGGTTTATTTGGTATGCCCAATTACATGAGAAGCATGGTCCAATAAGTAATAATAAACCTTTTTAGGTTATATTGTATGGGTGAATGTTACAAGTGTTCTAGAAATTGTATGAAGTTCCTAAAAATCTGATATGTCCTAATATAGTTATTACCTGTAATTCTAGTTACTTTCTAAAATGTATGTCACAAAAATACCCAAATTTCCTTGTCAATTGTGTTTACCCATTGTTTTTTAAAAAGCCTTTTGTCAGTTACAGACAGTAATTGTGTTACTCTGGTGCTGTTACAAATATGTTTCATTTTCAAAGAGATTCATGGAAAAGACTTTGACAAATACTCTGGAATACAGGTTTTGCTAACTTTAAGATCATAATACTAAAGTGGGTGGGAATTTCTGGAACTCGAGTGGGGGACTGATTGCCTTGATGTTTTGTTTTCCAGATGTAAAGCACCCCTTTTCCTCCTCTAAGCTCTCTCTATCTTAGAGCAACTTGGTAAAGTGTATCTGTGCAACAAGTGTTGAAACACTTATCTTTTTCTCTCTACCTGATCCCTCTATAATTTGGAAACTCTTAAGTGTTCTTTTCATGACAATGTATGTATTTGCCTGGGTTCAGTGAAGGTCTGTTCTCCTTGTAACAAAACACAATTGTAAGTAAGGGCTACATTGCCAAGGCTTTGACTAGAATGTCACATTCAAGAAAGGTGCACACAGACTCAGACATGACCAGACAGCTTTAAGGAACTGCTTAAAAAATTGGCCTGGTACTTTGCTTACAAGGTTTCAGCAAAGCAATCTTAAAAAAAGAAAGGGGGGCAGGGGTTGGCCCAGTGGCATAGTGGTTGACTTTGTGTGCTCTGCTTTGGTGGCCCAGGGTCCACGGGTTCAGATCCCAGGCACTGACTTAGCACTGCTCATCAAGCCACACTGTGGCGGCATCCCACATACAACAGAGGAAGATTGGCACATATGTTAGCTCAGCAACAGTCTTCAACAAGCAAAAAGAGGAAGACTGACAACAGATGTTAGCTCAAGAACAAGCTTCCTCCAAAAAAAAAAAAAAAAACTTATGTGGTCCAGCACTATTTTTTGTTGCATTTATATAAATAATCAGACCAAGTTTAATACAAAATTTTACTATGCTTATCTTTAATAAAAATGGGGTTAATTGTGGAGAAATTATGTTTGTACCTTTGTAGATATTAAATTCTAGTCCTATTAATTGTCTTTAAGATTTTGTTATATACCTCTTTGCTGGGCTGGACCCTAAATTCTTCTAGTTTCCCTAAATGTTTGGATATGATACTCCAAACTGACGTTTACAATTTTACTGTCCTTGAAATCTCCATGGAAGGGACTATACCAGGTCCTCCTCATTACTCATATGGCAGCGAATCTTCACGGACTTGAGCCTTGGGTGCACATCTCACAGCTAAAGAAGACTCCACCTAACATCTAGCCCTTTACAAACGCTGCAGACCTCAAATCAAATTGACCAGGAAGAGAAGCAGGTGACATCTGAGGCAGAGAGCTTTCCCAAGACGACCAGACCAGGCCTGTATATTCTCTTCCCACTGTTGCTTCTTCTCTCTCTCTTTCGTGGAAAGACTGCCCCTGTCTGCGTTTCCCAAAAGCTTGCAGAAGAGGGAAACCTCTTCTTTTGATTATGGCCTTTCAGAAACAGCCTCCTTATGATCCCCTTTTTGCTTGCTTTTTCTGAAGGGTTAGAAAGTTCAGCATTCACAGAAGTCTTTCTTTCATCTGGACTGTTAGCTGACTCTGAGTTCTTATCCAAATCCATGGTCTCTGAATTTGCAACCTAACAGGCAGTATTATTGGATAACGCATTTGGTTCCCAGTTATTTCGAGATGACAATACTGTTTTAATATGTCTTTTTGAATTTTTTGCAAGAGTTCATCAGCTATTGCTTCATGTTTATTCCTGCACTGTCTTCCCAATGTGCTCAGTTAATTCTTTCAGTTTGAGTGTGCTCTTACCATATTTGCTGTTCTGTTTTCTCTTCATAACAAATCAGAAGCCTCTCACTGGTTCACCCCATTAAGCCTCTATTTAGCCAGTTACCTTCAGGTTTGGGCTCCTAGTTTGGAACCATCAGACAATTTGGATTTGTCATGTTACTTTCAATTCTGTTTTGTATAAATACTTTAAGTTTTGTATTTTGTTGCCTGTGACACCTTTATAAACATGACGTACCTCATGAGGTGACGTTAGCACAGCAATCTGAAATGATTTCCAATGCTTATGACCTTGGACGACTATAGACTTTGAATAAGAAGTGCCTGCGAGTTCTCCCTCCTAACCTTCCTGGTTTCTCAAGTGTGGCCTAAATGGTTTCCAACCACTATGCACTCTCCCTCCAACATGGATCATGACGAGAAGGAAAGGTCCTTCCTGGCACCAAGGGACAAGACCACTAAGTGCAGAAATCCTGGCTCTCGATCAATGATGCTTTCAGAGAATGATCTTGATCAGAAGGGAGGAATGTGAAAATTAATAAAGGGAAACCCATTTAAAATGGATTCTGGAGGCTGGAAGGGGGAGCTCTCACACAGTACCACTCAAGGTCAATTACAAGAAAGACAGTCAATACTGACCCCAATAGAAAGAAGTCATCAATTACAGACCCCAATAGAAAGAAGTCATCAATAGGAAGAATCATCAATTACAGACCCCAACCAGAAGAAACATACATTGCATCCCAAACAGAAATCAACTACCCCAGCAACTCAGCCAATGAGAAACCATCACCACTCTGAACTCTTGCTTTTCTCCGGTGGACTTTTGTTCAAAACAACCCCTCCAAGTTTCCTCCTTTGTCCCCATAAAATAATGTTCCTCTCCTTTGATTGTTGGACTTGTATATGGTTTTTGCCATAGCATGTGGGACTCGAATTGCAATGGTTTTTCCCAAATAAACTTGTTTTGCTGGTAAAATAACTGGCTGTTTTAAGGTCGACATCTCCAAATGCTTGTTTTCAGATAATTACCTCACTTTGGGGTACTACAGTTTTCTTCTGCTCCCTTTGACTTCGTCAGCTTGGCCTCCCTGGACTCCCAGCTCCATCTCCTCAACTCCTGAAGACTGCCCAGCATCTCTGTGCAAGCAGATGGACTTTTCTCTAGTTTACCTTTACAGAGAGTATAGCCTCTGGGCCTCCAGCTTTGGACAGGGGCCTAGGTTCCCACTATCATTCTGGAGTCACCCAGGCTTCATCTGTTGTCTCCACAGAAGCTGTAAGTAGGCCGTGGCCCTCAGAGCTGCCATAGAATCAGTTTCCAAGCTGGAAGCTCTGACTTTCATCTCTCTCTTCATTTTTAGCCCCTGGGGTGTTCCTCACTCCCTTCGTGCTTAACCATGAATTTTCCTACTAACATTCTCACCCCAGGTTCCACCCCAAACAAAGGTAGAGTGTCAGAGCCACACACCAGCTCTGCCTGCACCAATGCTTCTACCAGACACAAACAGGAGACATGGGCCTTCCGAGGAAACGTCACTATGGGCCTGCAGTAGCTTAGGAGGGAAACCGGTTGTGATTCAGCGTGCTTCACGAACAAGATGTAAGCAGAAACGACTCATGACACTGCTTTCATCACTTCCTTTCTTTTCCTCCCTCCCTTATCTCCTTTCTTCCTTCCCAAAACATGTCTGAAGTACTTATCTGTATCATGTGCTGGAGATATAAAAGTGCATAAGACAAAATCACTGACAGCAAAAAGCTACAGCTGTAATGTACGAGAACCAAGTAGAAAGAGTCAAAGAAGTCATGAGCTGTGGTCTGGTGTGGGTGTGAAGGTTGTGCTGTGAGATATAGAGTAGCAGAGTTACTTTTTCTGAAGGATATTTGTTAAATGAGGTAGATACTTTTATCCCCATTTTAGAGATGAGGAGAAAGACCTAGAAAGACGAAATGTTTTACTCAAGGTCATAGAGTGAGCCCAAGGCAGAAGGGGCCTAGGATGCAGGCCTTCAGATGAGGTCTGCAGACCCCTCCACACAGACCACACTGGGGCTGGCCAAGTCCACACTTGGGAGAGGTTCTGTGCTTAGGAATTTTAATAATATAATGGAAGAGCCAGAACATGAGTCAAGCAAATCACAAGACAAACGTTAAGCCAAATGCAGAAGTGGTCCCAAATTCCCTAAGAAAACATAGTAACGGTGGGAGCAAAGATTGAGGAAGTTTCCTTGGACAAGCAACATTTGAGTTGGGCCTGGCGGGAATGAAGAGTGGATTAGAAAAAAGATTCCTCCAGGTAGTCTCAGAATTAAAGTCAGGATGTCAGGGTGGTAAAGTCATAGAGATTAGCCCATGTTTTTCAAACTTCTCAGTGAAACTCTTTAAATATAGCTTATTGTTCAAATCAGTCAGTGGGGAGATGCAGATTAAAACCATGGATGCCACTATATCCCCGGTAAAGTGGCTAGAATAAAAAAACTGAAAATGCCAAGTTCTGGTGAGGATTCACAGCAACTAAAATTTTTTTTTTTTTTGAGGAAGATTAGCCCTGAGCTAACTGCTGCCAATCCTCCTCTTTTTGCTGAGGAAGACTGGCCCGGAGCTAACATCTGTGCCCATGTTCCTCTACTTTATATGTGGGACGCCTGCCAAACATGCCAAGCGGTGCCATGTCTGCACCCGGGATCCAAATTGGCGAACCCCAGGCCCCCGAGAGGCGGAACGTGCGCACTTAACTGCTGCACCACTGGGCCAGCCCTGCAACTGAACTCTTATATGTTGCCAATGGGAATGTCAATGGTACAACCACTTTGAAAAACAGTTTGGCAGTTCCTTAAAAAGTTAAACATGGGGGCTGGCCCCGTGGCTGAGTGGTTAAGTTCGCGCGCTCCACTTCGGTGGCCCAAGGTTTCGCTGGTTCAGATCCTGGGCGTGGACCTGGCACCGCTCATCAAGCCATGCTGAGGGGGCGTCCCACATGCCACATCTAGAAGGACCCACAACTAAAATATACAACTATGTACTGGGGGGCCTTGGGGAGAAGGAAAAATTAAAAAAAATAAAAGTTAAACATACGCTTACCCTATGACCCAGTATCCCACTCCTAGCTGTTTGCCCAAGAGAACTGAAAAGTGAGGTTCACAAAACAGCCTGTCTTAGATGTTTACAGCCGCTTTATTCATAGTTGCCCCAAACTGGAAGCAACCCAAATACCCTTCCATGGGTGAATGGATAAACTGCTACAGCAGAAAGCTACTTGCCAGTAAAAGAGAATGAGCCACTGATACACGCAACATCATGGATGAATCTCCAACACATTATGTTAAGTGAAAGCCAGATCCCAAAGGCCACACACACAATGATTCTGAAAACATGAAACTATAGTGACAGAAAGCAAACCAGTGGCTTCCAGGGGCCGGGGGTGAGGTGGGGTCGACTACAAGGGAATTCTGGGTGATGATGGAAATATTCTATATTTTGATTGTGGTCGTGGCTACACGACTGTATGTTTTTGTTAAAACTCATAGAACTGTACATTAAAAAGGGTGAATTTTATTGTATGAAAATTATACCTCAAAAAACCTGACTTCTTAATAAGAATTTTCAAAAGTAAAGCTACTTGCCAGCCCCCTGCCTTGCTGGCCCCCGAGGTACCCTCTTTGGCTGAACCGTAGAGCTCTTTAGGATGAAAAAAATAAACAAACTTGGTTTCACAAATGCAACACTGGGGTTCCATGCAAGGAAGGGACTCCGACCTGCAGTTCCTCTGTGGGGTGGTTGGGGGATGAGCCAGACCATCCTGACGGTGGGAAATACGGCTTGAATGTGCCCAAGGGGCAAGGTTCTCTGTGCTCACGTGGAAGCAGGTGTGTAGGACTGAAACTAGACAATCTCAGCCACAAGCCTGGGCTTAGGCAGGAAAGCAGAGCTGAGCAGAATACATCAGGTTGGGTTGACACAGAACTGAGCGAGCTCAATTTTCATGGCCTCCGTTCATTCACCATCAGTTCCTGGTGGCAACTTGAGCACAGAGGTCACCTTCTAGCACAACAGTAACCTCTGCACAGACACTGTCACTTTCCAGAATGAATTCTATTACGTTTACTTTGGAATTTAATGACTTAATAGTCATCTGAATTGTTAGCTTTGCTAGTAATATTTAGACCTTCTTATTTGACTTTCATGATGCCATCCTATCCAACATAAAATGAACAATTGCTAAATTGTTTCCCACATTTATCACATTAAAAATGTCTTTTTTGGAAAACCTTTTTGATATGAATAAAGTATCTTTCAGATTCATCATTTAAAGGAGGTTTCTCTCCCACATGAGTTCGATAATGCGGGGTGAGTTGTAAGCTCTGGCTGAGGGACAATGATAAGGTCTTGCACTGGTGTGAGTTACCTGACATTCAATAAGGGTTGCACCCTGACTGAAGGCTTTTCCACACCCATGACACTTATAGGGCTTCTGCCTAGCATGAATTTTCTGATGTTCAATGGGCTGTGAGGTGGGAGGTTTTCCACATTCATTACACCCAAAGGATTTCTCACCAGCTTGAATCATCCAATGCAGAACAAGGTTTGTGCCATGGCTGAAGGCTCTGCCACGTCCATCACACACAGAGTGTTTCTCTCCAGTTAGAATCTGTCTGTGTGGCCTAAGGCTGGACCCATGAACAAAGGCTGGGCCACTTTTTCTGCTTTCACGAGGGTTCTCTCCAGTATGAATTCTCTGATGCTGAGTGAGGGCTGACCTCCGGCTGAAGGCTTTCCCACAGCCACCACAGTCATAGGGTTTCTCTCCAGTGTGAACTCTGCGGTGTAGGGTGAGTTGTGAGCTCTGACTGAAGGCTTTCCCACATTCAACGCACTGATAGGGTTTCTCCCCAGTGTGAACTCTCCGATGCTGAACAAGAGTTGAACTACGACTAAAGGCTTTGCCGCACTCATTGCAAACATAGGGTTTTTCTCCAGTGTGAATCCTGACGTGCTCAGTGAGGTGAGAGTTAAAGCCAAAGGCTCGGCCACATTCATTACATACATAGGGCTTCTCTCCAGTGTGAACCCGATGATGGAGAAACAGGCTGGAGCTCTGACTGAAGGCCTTCCCACACTGATTACATTTATGGGGCTTCTCTCCAGTGTGAATCCTTTGGTGTTGAATAAGGCTTGAACTCCGACTGAAGGCCTTCCCACACTGACTGCACGCATGGGGTCTCTCACCAGTGTGAATTCTCTGATGCTGTGTTAACTGTGGGCTCTGGCTGAAGGCTCTTCCACATTCATTACATTTGTACGGCTTCTCTCCCGTGTGAATTATACGATGTTGAAAAAGAGTGGAGCTTCGACTGAAAGCCTTCCCACATTCACTGCACCCAAAAGGTTTTTCTCCAGTATGAATTCTCTGATGGAGGAGGAGGTGGGAATTGAGGCCAAAGGTTTTCCCACATTCATTACATTTAAATGGTTTATTTCCAGTGTGAACTCGATGGTGCAGAATAAGGCTTGAGCTGTGAGTAAAAGCTCGTCCACACTGACCACATGCATAAGGTTTTTCTCCACTGTGACTTCTCTGATGCCTAGTTAGGTCTGAGTTATATCTGAAGGTTTTGCTGCATGTACCACATTTAAAGGCTGTCTCTCCTGTTTTCTTTCTTTGAAGTCTCACAACATTTTGGCCCAGATTCAAGTTTCTATCAAATGCACCACTCTCCTGGTTTTTTTCTCCTGGACAGCTTGCCCTACACATAACAGTTTCTTTCCTAAAAACTCTCTCGAGAAGTTGGGGTTTCTTCAAAGTCTGCCCATCAGAATTTCCCAGGTATCCTTCTAGTTGACTCTTACAGCCCAAAGCTTCCTGCAACTTGGGTGCCTGTGGGTTATCCCTTGATAATCTTCTTGATGTCGATTCTGGGGCTTTTACTTCTTCAGAACATTTCTGGTTTAGAATGAATAGTTCCTTCGCAGTCCCAATCTTAGAATCTGTTACACAAAACATAAAAAAATTACCAGAGAAACCATCTATCAGGGACAATATCCATAATATGTTAAAAGCTCCTACAAACTGTCATGCAAAAGGTAGACACTCCAATAGGAAAATAAGTGGTAGGAAGAACTAAGAAGTAAACATGGCCAATCAACAGGATAAAATATTTTAAGTTCATTAGTAATCAAGAAATAGAGATTAAAACAAATTATTTTTCACCTATAAATTGGCAAATTAATCCATTCAGAAAATACTTAGAATTCAACAAATATTTAGAAGGCCAGGCACATACTAGGTAAGGAATATCACAGTCAAGAAGACTGGCTCCCAGCTGGTCTATACGGTCAGAGAAGACCTCTGGGAATAAGTGAGGTTTAGGCTAAAACCTGAAATTAACACCTAGCAGTGGCAGACACGAGGACCTGGATGTGCTATGTGACAACGATCAGGTCCAACAATTGAAAGAATCTCACTATGGCTGGAACAAGAAGAGCGAGGAGAGAGCAGCAAGATGGGCAGCAACAGAACATGAGGTCCTACAAAAGCTCAAGAACTTTAACTTTATTCCAAGTACTTAAAGATAATACCCAGTGTTAATAAGAACCAAAGAAACAATCACTGTCTTTTACTGTGGCTGGGACTGTAAATAAACATGACTTTTTAAAGAGAAATCTGGAAATATGTACCAAAAGAATTGATATATCACACATCCTTTGTCAAAATTATGCATCTAGCAGTTTTTCCTAAGTGGACAGTCATACACACAAAGACACGGTGACTATGACAGTCACGGAAAGCCCTTTTTAATTGTAGGAAAACAAGAAACAACCCAAAGGTCCAAAAACTAGGGATGGTTAAACCTGGTATAGACTATTCATATGATGGGACACCATTCTGCCATTAAAATTATATAACAGAAGAATTTATAATTAAAAGTCCAAGATCTATTATAAAGTAAAAATCACATTCTCAAACTATATATACTGCATAAACCAACTTTTATTGAAAACATACACGGTAAGATAGGAGCTGTTTCTTCCTTGCATGTTTAGTACCAGTTGGCGAAGCCATCTGGGCTTAGTGTTTTCTGAGGAAGGGTTTTAAATTACTGAGCCAATTTTTTAAATACTTATAGGATTATGTAGTTAACCTTTTCTTCTGCCAATTTTGATAAATCGTACTTTTCTAGGATATTTATACATTTTATCTTCATGTTCAAAATTTTTCACATAAATGTGTTCAAAGGATCTTTTTATCTGTTTGTAGTATGTGTGTTGATGGCTCCTTTTTCACTTTGGTTATTTGTTCCTTTTCTCTTTTATTCTTGATCAGTTACATCCAGAAAATAGGAAGAGGTAGTATATGACCCAATTCCTTTTGTGAGGTTAATTCAACTTGATACCACAACCTGACAACAGCAATATGAGAAAGGGAAATTTCAGGCCAATCTCACTCACAATTATAGATGCAAAAACCCTAATTAAAACATTAATAAGACAAAACCAGTAACACACAACAAGGATAACAAGTTCGGTTTATTTCAGGAATGCAAATTTAGTAAAAATCTATCAATATAACTCTCCATACTTACAGAAAAGGGAAGAAAAATCATATGGTTGTCAATAGACGCAGAAAGGATTTATGACAAAATTCAACATCAATTTCTGATTTAAAAAAAAACCCAAATTTTTAGAGAACTATGACCAGAAGGAAACTTCCTTAATATCAAATTGGCATCTACAAAAACACCTACAACAGACACCACACTTCATGGTGAATGTGGAAAGTTCCTCTCGAGGTTGGATAGTCTGCCATCACTTTCTATTCAGCATTGTCTGGGCCAGAGCAACAAGACAAAAAGAAATGTAACAGGAGTCAAAGATCAGAGAGGAAGAAATGAAATCATCATTCGCAGGTAAATTATCAGAATTAATAATAGCTTATCAAGTTTGCTGCATAAAAAATCAAAGTATTAGCTACATTTCTATGTACAAAAAATAGAAATAAATAACTAGAGGGGCCAGACCCGTGGCCGAGTGGCTAAATTTGAGTGCTTCACTTCGGCAGCCCAGGGTTTTGCCGGTTCAGATCCCGGGTGTGGACATGGCACCACTCATCAAGCCATGCTGAGATGGTGTCCCACATGCCACAACCGGAAAGATCCAAAACTAGAATATACAACTATGCACTGGGGGGCTTTGAGGAGAAAAATAAGAAAAAGAAAAAAAGAAGATTGGCAACAGATGTTAGCTCAGGTGCCAATCTTTAAAAAAAAAAGTAATAGCTAGAAAACTACAATTAAAAGATATTTAAGCCCAAATAGGAAACCACCCAAATGCCCACCAACAGTAGAATGGATGACTAAATCACAGCATACCCATGCAAGCGATGAGACAGCAGTGAGAACAAACGAACCACACTGCACACAACAGCATGGATGAGGCTTAAAAACATAATTTTGAGAGAAAGAAGCCAGATATGAAAGAATATAGGCTGGGGGCCGGCCTGGTGGTGCAGTGGTTAAGTTCGCACGTTCCATTTCAGTGGCCTGGGGTTTGCTGGTTTGGATCCCAGGTGCGGACATGGCACCGCTTGGCCAGCCATGCTGTCATAGGCATCCCACATATAAAGTAGAGGAAGATGGGCACGGATGTTAGCTCAGGGCCAGTCTCCCTCAGCAAAAAGAGGAGAATTGGCAGCAGATGTTAGCTCAGGGCCAATCTTCCTCACCAAAAAAAACAAACCAAACCAAATAAAAACAAAACAAGAAAAAATTAATATATTGCCCTGACTAAAATATAAAGGAGAAATAAAAGTAACTTACAGAAAAAAAAGAGAGAGAGAGAAAGATACCACTTACTTGAGCATAGGAAAAACACCAAACACCTAGGCATGAATCTAATCAAAGAGATAAAAGGCCTCCTCACAGAAAAATAATCATTACTGAGTGAAATTAAAGAAGACCAAGGTAGGGGCCGGCCCAGTGGTGTAGTGGTTAAGTTCGCGTGTTCCACTTTGGTGGCCTGAAATTTGTGGGTTTGGATTCTGGGCGTGGACCTATACATCGCTCATCAAGCCATGCTGTGGCGGCTTCCCACGTACCAAACAGAGGAAGATGGGCACGGATGTTGGGACACGGCAATCCTCCACCAAACAAAAAACAAAAAAACCCCACCAAGGTAAATAAAGAGATGTAACATGTTCATGGGTTGTGGTATTCAGCTTGTAAAGATACCCACTTCTCCCCAAACTGATTTAATGCAAACCTGATCAAGCTGATTCTAAAATTAATATGGAAACACAAAGGGTCAAGAACAGGTAAGACTCCACTGTGGACAGACAGACAAGGAGGCAGAAGATTTGCTCTCCTGGATATTAAGATTGGTCAAGGACAGAAAAAGGAATGGGGTAGAGGAAATTATATCCATGTGCTCTCCTCTCCTGGCTTCACAGAGCAGGGTGCCCCTCCCCACGATGGGCACCACGGACCACTTCCCTGATGGTGAAGAGCTCAGACTGTGAAGTCAGGCACAGCTGGGAAAAACGCTAGTCCACTGTAGACTGAACTTTTCTCTTTCAGAAATAGGTGATAATAATTTTCCTTAAAATTCTCATGTAACTAAGATTTGAAATTTTTAATACGAAATAAAAAATACATAGAGGAAAATGAGAAATTGTACATTGCTCAGTTTGAAAAAGTCATTACCTGAAACATCAGATTAAAATAGAGAAAATCTCTATGGAAAATTAAAAGGCCTTTAGAGTGACTTTGTTTTTTATGCCCATGGTAATGGCACTGTTACCAGACAATATGAAAATGAAATACAGATATGGTGATTTTAATTCACGTGAAGACCTAGACTGTTACACCAAAACAGCTAAAACTGCTTATATTTCTTAAACTGGGCTTAATAATAATAACAAAGTGACCCTTATGTAAACTGGGGTTTACTGTATGGAAATGCAACATGAATATGGGTTACTGGTAACTGTGATAAAAATTTTAAAATAAAAATACAAATAAATGGCCCTTTTGAATGGAGTCTTATTACAAAGAAATTCCAACAATATTGTAAAATGCTGTAGACCAATAAACTTTGTCCAGTTAATCTTTCTGAGTACAATTTAAAGATTTATACAATTTTTAAAAAATTGATGCTTCTCTAGTGATTCTTAATGTTAATTTTTCATTATATTTTGCTAGGATGTGGTTATTTCTTCTGTCATTCTAACATTATTTAGGAATCTTAAGACTTCAAAACTGAGGTAATAAACGCCTATATTTACATTAAAAAATTTTAAACATTAGAGTTAAACCGTAAGCTCCTTGTTAGGAAAGTCAAGAGAGAGACTGGGAAAAATCTCCACATCTCCCCCGTCACTGTTCCCACGCTCTCCTTTTAGCGATCACACAGATTTCCTGGCAGACACTAGGTTCCTCCCTGATGTCTGCAGTCAACGAAAAAGCAAGTTTAAAACCAGCTCTCGCGCCGTCGCAATCTTCCCTCCCCCGAGACCTCGCAGGTAAACAGCGCAGGTACCACGGTCCCAACGCTGCGGCCTGGCCCCGGGGCGACCCCGCCCGGACACTCGCCGGTCCGCGGGGAGAGCGACAGCACCGCGCCCACGCCCGCCGGACCGGAGAGGGGACAGGGGGATGCGCGGCATCGCAGGGCTCTGCTGCCACCCGCGGCCGCCGGGGGTAGGACAGCACCCGAGGGACGAAATCAGCGCGGAGCAGGACGAGGCGCAGGCCGCCCAAGGGCGACCCCAGGTCCCCGCGATCGAGCGCAGCCGGGAGCAGAGCGCACGCGCAGGCACCGCCCGAGCCGCCCCGCGGGCGAGAACGGGCCGCGGTCCCCAGAGGACGCCCTCCGGGGCGGAGCGGCCTCCTCTCCTGCGTCCGAGGCTCACCAGGTTCAGCCTGCGCAGCCCCGCCCCCAGCGGACGTGGGGTAATTACTTTTAAAGCAGGACACCTGCGCGCTCTTTTGCAG